GTCAAAATCTTACAAGAAGAATGAAAAAAAAAAAGAATTGGAAAGTCCTTTTTGATAGGCAGTTACTTCAAAAGTTGGTTGGAATAGTATGTGTGTGTGTATTTGGAAACAAGGTAATAAAATCTTTGGAAAGGGCCAGGGGTTTACTGCATGATGACTCTGTCAGGAATGGGGATGCCTTCCCCCACTTTGAATGCTGTTTCCACCAGTTCTGTAAGGGGCTGTATCTTATTGCTGCTGTAACAAAGTACCACAAACTCAGTTGCTTAAAGCAACACAGATGTATTATCTTATAGTTTAAGAGAACAGAAGTGTAAAATGGGTTCCACAGTGCAAAGTTTACAGCTTCAGAGGGCTGTGTTTCTTGGAGGCTCCCAGGGAGGATCTGTTTTCTTGCCTTTCCCAGCTTCCAGAGGCACCTGCACTCCTTGGCTTGTGACCCCCCATCTTTAAGGCCAGCAACAATGCCACTTCTGTCTCTGCTCCCATCATCACATCCCCACCTCCCTTCACCCTCCCCATCACCCTCCTGCCTCCCCTCTCACTTATCGGGACCCTGTGGTGACACCGAGCCCACCTGAGTCAACTAGGACCATCTATCTCCGAATAATTACATCTGCACAGTTCCTTTTTGCCAAGTAAGGTAACACACAAGGTCTGACAATTAAGTTCATGAACTCATCCTGAAGAAGTGCTCCGTACCTCAGTGCTGAATATCAGTATGGTCCCCTTCAAAGTACTCCCCTCAGGAAGCCATGCATTGGAGCTAGCGCCTAGCTCACCCTTCAGAGCAATGTGGGAGCTCTGTTTCTGAAGTGGCCATCAGAGCTGTCATCACATTTCTCTTGATATCCTGAATGTCATCGAAGTGTCCTCCTTTCAGTATTTCCTTTATCTTCAGGTAAAGAAAAAAGTCACGGGGGGCTCAATCAGGTGAGTCAGAGGGGGTTCCAATACAGTTATTTGTCTGCTGGCTAAAAACTCCCTCACAGACAGTGCTGGGTGAGCTGGTGCAATACCATTCTCATACCAAGATTTTCAGCTAAGATTTTCCTGTTTCTCTTTCAGTGGTTACTTGGTCTGCTGTGCTTCTCACAGCCAACAATTCTTGCACAACTTGACAAATGTTTGAAATGTTTTCATCAATTCTGCTCTTTACTGGCTGTAACAGTCATGCTTTCTCTCCCCTCCGTAAAATGTTCAGTCCATTCATACACGGCCATTTTCTTCACGGCATTATCCCCATAAACTTGGACTAACATGTTCCTGATTTCATTTCCACTCTTGCCAAATTTAACAAGAAATGTAATGTTTCTTCGTTGCTCTAATTTGAGCTCCAGCATTCTCACAATACCACACAAAAACACACAACAATAATGAACGCCATTCAGCACGACACTGCCACGTGGCAGCCAGAGCACAGCTGTGACACACTGAGACACTTAGTTATGAAACCTTACCGAATTGTTTTTAAGGTGCTGCCAACGTAAGTGCATGGGGCAAGTTCATGAACTTAATTGTCAGAGCTTGCATTCACGGTTTCCAGGAAGAAGGATGTGGGCATTGTGGGGAGCCATTGCTTTGTCTACCATGAGTGGGCATGATTATGTGCATTTTACAGATGAGCAAATAAACTCAGAGACACCGGGCAATGTTCCCAAGACCACTCAGCTGCTGTGCAGGTGATGAGAATTTGAATTCAGATTTGCCTGGTCCTAAAGCCACAGTTCTTTCTCCCCAGGACCCTTCCCATGCTCCCAGCCTCATGCTGAATCTAGGCTCATGGGTTTCCAGAGTTTAGGGTAAATGCTACCATTTCAAAAACTGTCTCCAGGCTTGGCGCCTGTGGCTCAATCGGCTAAGGTGCCAGCCACATACACCTAAGGTGGCGGGTTTGAATCCCCAGCCCGGGCCCGCCAAGCAACAATGATGGCTGCAACCAAAAAAAAAAAATTGGCGGGCGTTGTGGTGGGCGCCTGTGGTCCCAGCTACTTGGGAGGCTGAGGCAGGAGACTCGCTTGAGCCCAGGAGTTGGAGGTTGCTGTGAGCTGTGAGACCATGGCACTCTACCCAGGGGGACAGCTTGAGGCTCCGTCTCAAAAAAAAAAAACTGTCTCCAGTGGACTCTTCCATATCTATTCTTGCATCTCTGGCTCTTTTAGAAGATAAAAGGAGAACAGGCTGCTTGGTGCATCTCTTTCCTTCACCTAAACCTGCTGGGCCTTCAGGTCTTGGCTCCCTGGTGCCCTCCTCCAGGAATCCTTCCTGCAGTCCCTCAGAGGAGAGCTCACCTCAGTGTTGTATGTGGTGACTGTCTGTTTCCGGGTCTGCCTTTCTCTCCAGATCATGCCAGGTTCCCCAGTGACCACTGGCAGTACGTGAGTGTGGCTTCAGTGTTTGTAGAATGAATAATACATGAAGTGGTGACTCTAACACCAAAGCTCAGAGGCCATCCCTTCCTGCTCAGGGCCTGCAGAGGTCCCTGCACCTCTGAGCAAGATGTCATCCCACCTTAGCTCAAAGTCCCCTCCCCTGAATGGCAAGCTCCTGCCGGAAGGCACCATGGCAACAGTTCTCTGTGAGCCCAGCACAGGGCAACAGCCTGATCACAGGAGGAGTTGGCCAGGGCTCGCTGAAGAGCAGTGAACTGAACTGGCCATTGTCAGGATGGCCCCTGCTTACAGGCAGTGGGAGTGCCCTGCAGAGGCGGCAACTCTGGCTTTAAAAAGTCCTCTTACTCCCTCACAAGAGGACAAAGTCATTTACCCTCCTGTCCCAGGAATACATCGTCACATATTTTCAGCTTTAAAGAGAGTGGGGACCTGAAGAAGTAGCTTCTGGAACCAGGGAGACCAGGGTGGGTGTCCCCACTCCTTCTGCATGTCCCTCACTTGAATGAGTGAGTCACTGGACTGTTAGGGTGTGAGAGTGCACGAGACCCCACATGGGCCACTTCAGGGTCCTGGAGGGAGCAGGGTCCCCACGACGTTACTTCTCCCTGCTCCTTCAGGTCTGATGCAACTGACTCTGTGACCCTGGGTAAGTCCCTCTTTTGGGTCTTGGTTTCCTGAACTGTCAGTCAAAAGACATCAAGGGTCTACATGAAACTCTCATCTCCGTAAGGATGTTCATCACAGCCTTATTTAGAATAACACATTTTGGAACCTACCTGAGTCGGACAAGAACCATGAACACTCCCTTGTCAGATTCTGCTGGAATTGCTTACTGTATATTCATTTGTTCAACCCTTGGCTTACACCTCTGGGTCAGGGACAATATCCTTTAGAAATAGGGAAACTGAGTCACAGAGAAGCGGGGTAACTTACTCAAGCCACCTGAAAAAGGCACAGAGCTGGGATGAGAAACGGACCACAGGACTCTGCTAACAGGTCCTGAGCACCAATGCTCAATGACCCCACCCTGTCAGACCATGGGTCAGGAAGTTACCATGCAGCAAAATTTTGGAGAATGGTACAGCGTTTACCACTAGTGTTAAGTCAGAGGGGGTAGTGATAATCATCACACACGTTTCAGTACATATAGTACACGTCAATAAAAATTACTTAAGCAATAAATAATAAAATGGAAAATCATTCTTACACAGGATTATGTGAACAAAGGCAAAGCTGGAGTCAGCATATAGCATAGAATTACTGCACTATGGTGTGAGGGTGACACCTGTATCTCTGCGAAGGAGGACAAAGGGACTTGCAGACTTCTTAGTAGTGTGATTGTAGGTAATTTGTGCTTTGTTCCTCTCTATTTTTCTGAATTTTACAAATTTACCCCAATGAGCTGGCACTCATTTCTTACCATAATAAAATAGTTTACAAAAAATAAGAATCAGAAACCCCACATTTCCCCATTGTTTTCATCCCAGACTGTCCGCATTCTTCCACTGATTGAGGATAAAATTAATAATGAAAATTGGGTGCAATCAGTAACTGGAGAATAACAAGAATTTTGTGAAACCTCCAGATTGGGAGACATTGAAATATTTTCCCTCTTACCAAAAGGCTGTGAAGCAGAAGGGAGATGAGATTGAACATCACTCCTCTACACTTTTTATGATATTCGTTTTTTTTTTTTTTTTAAATCTTGTTAGCAAGACCTGCTGAGAGCAAAGAGTGAAGGGAGCAAAATACAGCATTCTGTCGACAAGTCAGAGCACGACTGGCAGCCTGTCCGCGGGCACAGGCGTGGACCTCGCCAGCGCCCCCTGGTGAGCGCGAGTGAGCTGCTGAGTTTGGAGGAGAGCCTGACCGCTTTGCCAGGCGCGGGGCACACACCTTCACGGTGGGAGGAGCACCTGCGTCTCAGAGAGAGGGAAACGCTCTAAGAGCTGTTTCTGAGAAGTGAGTGTCTTGTTCTATACAGCACAGCCACGGAGTCCCAGAGCCAGGGTCATACCCAGATTGGTTTGATTCCAGAACCTGGAGGTTTCTGCTTGATTCTGAAGGTGCCCAACTCACCCTACCCCCAAATGTTTGTTTTGCATGTTGGAGGTTAAAAAGAGTGATGAGCTCTCGCTTATTATTAAGGGCACTGACTGACTGGACCGTCTTTATGCCTTTTCTTTGCCTTGCAAACTCCTACATATTTGGGTGATGAGATGACAGCCATGGGTTTTGAAATGTTTAAAAAGTCATGGCAAAAGATTTGAGATCCACATGGACTCTCTTATCTAAATCCCCAGGGGCAATATGACCGTCTTTCATGGGGTGTTCATATTGAATCACTTGTATTTAGGTGCGAGTTCAAAGGAGGGAACTATCTATTAATATTGAAAGGAAGGCAACAGGGAAACAAAATAGAGGAAGAATTTTTCTCTAGATGGATGAAACTTGAGTGAAGAATTGCATCTGAACCCCCGAGATCTAGACCCTTCCAAGTGACAAAGGGCATGCTCCCTTAAAGACATGGGCATTTACTGCCTGGGGCCCCTGTGGTACTGTCCAGTCCCCCGCAGTATTCTCAGGTGTAACCCTGGGTTCACTTACAGAGAAGATGGCAGCCAGTGTCTCAATCCCCCCTGTACTCAAGGTGATGTACGGGATCTTTGCAGGAGGGATCCCAGCGTTTCCGAAGATGCTGTTGGTATAAAACCAGATCTGCAATGCAGGAGAGAGACAGAGGAGAAAGGTCAGTGGGAGATCTTAATGTATTTTCTAAGTTAAACTCAGGAACAAGGTAGTCTGAGCTTTGCTGCTGAATCTGCTAAGTCTCAAGGTGGAGCTACGTGGTGGGGTGCTCATTCTTTGCCCTTTGTTCACCGTTGTCCCGTCTTCATTACTAACAGAACCTGCACTACTGGAAACGACAGGTGCCTGGCTAAATGACTACAGGAAGTCCCCGGTTACAAACAAGATAAATGCTGTAGGTTTGTTCTGCAGTTGAATTTGTATGTAAGTTAGAACAGGTAGGTACATTTACTTAGTACCTGTAATAGCCTAGGTTCGTTTTGCGTGTAGCTTGAGGACTGCCTGTATAGTTCCCAGCCTTCCTTACAGCTCCATGTGACAATAAGGTAGGAACAATGTTGGAGTTTCTAGGAAGGAAAAAGGTTTCCTTTCTATTTTTTATTTATTTATTTTTTTTGTAGAGACAGAGTCTCACTTTATCACCCTCAGTAGAGTGCTGTGGTGTCATACAGCTCATAGCAACCTCCAACTCCTGGGCTTATGCAATTCTCTTGTCTTAGCCTCCCAAGTAGCTGGGACCACAGGCGCCCACCACAACACCCCGCTATTTTTTGTTGCAGTTTGGCTGGAGCCAGGTTTGAACCTGCCACCCTTGGTATATGGGGCCAGCGCTCTATCACCTGAGCCACAGGAGCCACCCAAAGTTTCCTTTTTAAAAAAGGAGTTTTTCATCAAGGAGGTGTGCTCCTGAGTTTTCTTCTCCTTCATTTCTGCTGCCAGGGTGGTGTATGTGATATCTGAAGCTTCTGGAGCCTTTCTGGATCACTAGGTGACTCAGGACAGCATTGCTATCAACCCTCACGGTTACATGGAGAGAATCAGAAAAGGTCACCCTCCACAGACACTTTACTGTCATCCACTGAAAAGTGTGTGAGTACAATGTGGCTGATGCCCCCCAAAGCTGTGCAGTGAGCAACCTGCATAACGGTACGCGATGCCCCTGCCTTGGGATGGAAGCCACCGTTCAGACGCTGGAGCAGGGAGTTAGAAGGAGGGAGCCAATACCTTCCCTACTAGAGTGATTCTATAATTTATTATCCAAACATGAACACCTCCGGGGTGAGCTATGCCGGGATGATAGGCATGTGTCAAGGCTGTCCAGGATACGTGGTCCTGGGGTTGCTATACCAGTCCTCTCTATCTTGCTTGAGGTTTCTGCCACATGAAATTAAATCTAAATCCTACTTAACACTTGAGGACCCTTGACAGTCACTAATCAGAAGTTTGCAGAACTGGTGCATCTGGAACCAGCTGTGGGGCCTTAGGTGAGTCACCCTGCCCTCCCACTCATCCTCACCCAACCCAGTGAGGTAGCGTCATTGCCCCATTTAATAGACAAGGAGACTGAGGCACAGGGAGGATCTGAGGCTCACTCAGCTGTGAGTGACAGAACCTGATTTGAGCCCAGATAATCCAAAACCTTTCTGCTGCCCTCAGGCCTATGGGTGAGAACGCGTCCATATCCCTCTGGAGGTGACCTCAGGACAGTGTTTGTCCTATGGAGTAGAACAGTGGCATAAAGGCTAATGTGGACTGCTGCAAAGTCAACCAGACCTTCCCAGGGCTTCATGGTTTGTGACAGTGTCTGCAAGTCCACACTGCTCCTCACCAGGGCAGCCTCATCCAACCCCTGGGCAAATATCATCCCTTCTTTTCTTCAGACCTCACTCCATCCTGGAGGGGGAGGCAGAGGGATGAGCTGCCCCTGCCTACCTCGCTTAGTGGGTGCAGCTGCACCCCAACCACACCTTACACTCCACCACACAGGGCCCCTGGCCGCTTGCTGGCCATCTTCAGGGCTGGCCAGTCTTTAAGGCCAGTCCCCCTGTGGCTGAATCTCCAAGGCCGGGCAACTGAAAATCTAAAGCCCCTTCTCTGAGAACTGCCATCCTTAGGACAGACAGGAGGTAGCTGGGGGACAGGAGGGTTCAACTTCCAGCAATGCTACCAGGTAAGAACTTGGACTTGAGTCTCAACAGCCCCTGGCCTCTCTTTCTGGCCTAAAGGCACATGTGAGCATTCAGTGGGATGTTGTGCCTGATGCCAGCACCTTGTCGGTGTTCAGTGCAGGCAGCTCCTTTCTCTGCCCTCCACTCTTCTGTCATGAAAATCCAGAAACATCCAAAGTAAGGGCTCAAATTCTAGGACAGCCAGAAAATGCTCCCTCTTAAAAGCTTTACTAGGAGGGTTGGATCACCCAGTCTCACTCCTCATCTTATAGATAAAGATACAAACTCACACTGACCCAGCCCACAGCCACCTTTCTGGTCTGGTCTCTTTGGACTCTGACACCTGAGTGATCAAGACTCAGAGGTGCACAGGGCCATGAGGCTGGGAAGTCAGAGGATTTGGGCTGGAAGCCGGACCACCCTGGTGGTCTCAGAGTAAGGCTGAGACATCAGCCTCTGGCACACATCATGGCACACCACTTCTGTGGCTGACCTGTGCTGAGTTTTGAATGCTTCCTGTCAGGCAGCTGGGGAAACTGAGGAACAGACTAGTTATGCAACTTACCAGGGCCCATAACTCAAAACTCTGGTGCTGTGGATTGCACAGGGCAGCTGAGCCCATGTCTGGTGCTCTTGACCACAGTGGAGGGGTAACCACATAAGGGTCTCTACTTAGCCTCCTCCCTGACCCCAGAGCATAGTGATATGGTCACAGTTACTAGGCAATGGAACATATTAATTCTTCAAGTTTGAGTTAGCAAGTGATTTCGGAAAAATCTTTTCAAAACAAAAGCTATTGATAAATGCTTCTGAAATTGTGATTTGAGGTTTTATGCAAAACAACATCTAAGGTTCCAGAATGCCTAATGACAGTTTGACAAATCAAATGGGCCTTCATATGGTTCCAGGCCAGAAAAGGGACAAAGCACCAGGTTTTGCTACAAATGGTCTATGGTTTTCTTGTCTTCTCCCTCCCTCTTTCCCTGCTGTCTCCTGCCCTCCCTCTCACTCAGATGTGTGTTGACGGTGTGGGATATCTGTGGCCCTTCCAGACACAGGATTACAGCACAGAACAGCACAGGTGCACATGTGCCCCGGAAGACTGAGTCTAGCTGGGGAGGGAGGCTCACACACCGACTCCCCAAGTAAGGATCAGAGGAACCCACCAAGAGTTCCGTAACACTTGGACACCGGCAAGTGGATGAACCCAGGCAGCAGTCTGACACCTTTGAGCAGCTAGCGTGCATGTCACCAGGCCCATGTGGCTCACCCGTGGCCCACGTGCTGAGTCTCTTTGATCTTACTCTACCTCTATTTCTAACAAGCTTGTGTGTCTTGTGCCTCAACCAAGACCACATGTCAGCAGCAGCACGTTTCGAGAATGTGTGGCATTGAGAGAGAATAAAGCAATGTTAGAAAAGAGAAAAGAGTCTTGCTGACAACAGCAAGGTGGGAGAGACCCGCGGAAGCCAAGCCGATGCCACCTGTGAGACCTGCTTTCACATAACTGTGCACAGGCCCCACAGCAGGATGCAAACTGAGTGTCGGCATCCCCGTCCTCCATGACCGGAAATTGAGGCCCGGGGAGGTCACTATGATTGGCTTTCAGTGTCCAAGAAGGAAGGAACCCAGAGGAAGGCAGTGTAATTCAAGGTAGATAAGAGTACTGCCACAACCCTCGGCAGGCATCCTGGCAGGGTACAGGGAGATGCTGTGGTCGGCCTAGCAAAGCGAACAAGGTGATGGGCTCTGAAGGAAGAGGCTCCTTCACTCTGCAAGGGGCTCTCTCTTGCAGCAAAGCCAGTTCATGCAGAGGACAGTCTGCATGGGAGGGAGGCAGCTGACTGAAATAAATAGTGTTAGGCGACAGATCTAATTTTAGAGAAGAGGATTTGAAAGCTATTGTGAGAGGCAGGGGAGGGAAAAACAATCCAATTCTGGAAAGGAGCTTAGAAATATATAAATAAGTGTGGCTAAATCTGACTTTCACCTGATTTCTAAAGCGTATGCTAATCATTTGTCAGCTCCTTAGCCACAGTGCACTGAGCAACATGTGAGGTCTGCTTACCACGGTGGCTCTCAGCTGAGGGAATCTGTCCCCAGCAGCTGTTGGGCAGTGTCTGGCACCATCTTCAGTTGCTAAAACTGCCCGTGTGGGGAGAGCCGGGCTGTGGCTGCACACCACACACACAGGACAGCCTCCACAACAATGAATTTTCTAATTCAACATGCAGACAGTTCTGGGCCGAGAAATGCTGCACAGAGTGGCTGGGCGGGCTGTCCAGGGAGCACACCTGGACCAGGAGTGTACGTGTTCCAGCACAGATGCACCCTCATCCCCCCGGCCTTGGGCAAGTCGGGCCCTCGGCCAGCCACAGTTTCTTCACCTGTAAAATGGGACAGTGCCACCTTCCCTGTAGGACTGTTTGGTGCTGGAATTAGGTGATGGACAAGGAGACACTTGGAAGAATTTACAGATGTTTCAAATGATAAACCATGTCCTCAAATAACACAGTGGAACCCGTGTAAGGTGACCATGCCAAAGGGACTGTAACTACCTGGTCACCATATGGAGGTGGTCAACATAAGGAACGAGGCCTGCTATACAGATATGTGCAGGTGGTGCACGCCCAGTGCACTATGAAAATTAGGTCAACTTAAGGAGGTGGTCAGTGTATGGAGGTGGCCAGCTATGGAGGTTCCACTGTATCTGGTTAAACTAAGGGGGCAGAGAGTAAGTTCAAGGGCTGGTAAAGCTTTTGGATCCATGTTAGCCCTCTTCATTGGGCTTACAAATTTGGATTACAAGGCAGCAGGTGTGGGGAGAGCCTGGCCCCACCCACAGGAGAGCTGGGCTGCACTGTGGCATTTGTCACTACCCAATGTGGGTCCCTTTGTATGTAAAAGAAGTAGGACTTGTCCTGGTGGTTGCTGAGTGATGACCTGGCAATGCAGCATGAAGGACATTCATGGGGGTGCTCTGAGGTCGACTTTGGGGCAGGGTGGCTGTAGCTCAAGTCCCCTTTCTACTGTGTGACCGTGGAAAAACGTCTCAAAGTCTCTGTGTCTAACAGTAGGGCCTAACTCACAGGGCGGCCACAGGGACCGGTCCTGGCCCACACCAAGTGCTAAATGCATGTGTACTTTATTATCACGGCTGAGGTGGCTGAGGCAGGGTAGGAAGTGTTTGGTCCAGGTTACTTACTGCACGCTTTGTGGTTCCACTGGGAAGGGAGGCCAGGCCTCTGACTCTTAGTAAAGTGTGCCTGGCTCCAAGGATTGTTCCTAATTTAGACTAAAAACAACCAACAGGAGGAGGTTAGACTCTTCGGAGGCTGACACCTCACGACTGCTTGCTTTGGGAGCAGATGAGAGGATTTTCCCTGTCATACATGTACGTAGTTAGTGGAGGTCACAGATATGCCTGGACAGAGCTTATAAACTTATATGGGGTAAGCAAATGGAAACATTCTGTCCTAGTGGAAAAGAGAATTCTGTTCAGAAATGTCCTGGTTCTCAGTCTAAGTGCCTCATTAAATGCAGGTCCCGTGTTCGTTCTTTAAGAAATGATGTGTTCTCCTCTACTCTCTCAGAACAAGGGAGGTGACCTTGAGACCATCTACTATGACCTCAGTCTTGTTAATAGAAGGAAATAGCAGGACTTGTCCGAGCTGACTCTTTGGGTGGAGGCGTTGACCTAGGCACCTTCTCATACATGACTTTAACTAGACTGAAGAAAAGGTACAAATAAGCGTGTGGCAAGGCGATCTTACTTCAGCTGTGTTTCTGAAAATAGAACCATGGCTTGTTGAAATGAGGCTCAACATTGGGATTGCGACTTCCTGTGCTGTGTTTCCCCTCTCTGGACAGGAACTGCTCCTTTGGGGTCACCTCCCCTAGAAGGCTCCATCACTCCTGCCCACTCTGGGCTCAGGCTATTCCCCCCAAGGCAGAGCTCTCCTATCTGGGGCACCTGGGAGCCACTTTTCTCCCTCTCTCCAGGTGCAGCCACACTCCCACAGCTCCCTGGAGGGCCTCAGAGAGGGCTTGGGTATTTTAGGACAAGAATCTCCTCCAGACTCCCCTGACAAGTGGCAGGCTGTTCACACATCTCCATAGACAGAAGCTCCCCACCATCAGGCAACCCACTCCCACAGCATCTGGGATAATGTTGCCTCCCAAAGTCTCAAATCAGGAATTCTGCTTCCTGGAGCACCAGAGCCCTGGGGATCATCACAGATAGACCTCGCCGGGTTCCCCTGCCCACCTCTGGCTCAAGTTGCAAGACCTTTTTTTATTTAAAGCCTTGAGGTTTTCTCAAGCTGAGGATAGCCCAGGCAAGAGTACTGTTACCTAAATCGTCTCAATGTGTCTCACTGCTGACCCCCTAATACCCAGTTTTCAAAAGAAACATGATTTCTAAGTATTTCTAGAAAGGAATAATTATAATGCCAGGTAGCATTTATTCAGGATGTGTCTATGCTAGCAGCTGAACTGACTGGTTGGTGTGGACGATGCCTTTCCATGGTCTGTTATCCCATTTCACAGATGAGGAAACAGAGGATCAAATGAGTGGCACGGCTGCCCAATGGCACAGAGTTTGTGGAGACAACAGCACTGGAACTTGAACCTGGGTGTCCAGGGCCCAAGCCCCAGACTGTCCCCCCCACCATCCCTCCATGCAGGGACACCTGGCTGGGCCCAGTGCTCACCGCATTGAGGCCGCAGAGCTGGTAGCAGGCCATGGTGATGATCACGGTGATGACCTGCCAGCGGACAAATGGTGCCCTCAGCAGCTCAAGGAAGGGCACCAGGCGGATGTTCCTGTGCACACGGCTCTCAGCCAAAACTGCCTCCATCTCCCGGGAGATGTCCGCTTTGCCCAGGAATGTCTGGAAGGCTGTAAACAGGGGCAAGCAGGATGTTCAGGAGGATTAGAATGTGTCCCTCCATCTACAGGGGTCCACAAACTTTTTAAACAGGGGGCCAGTTCACTATTCCTCAGACTGTTGGAGGGCTGGACTGTGGGCCCTGGGACGAGTCAGCTGCTAAGCAAGACAGGCAGCGGTGCCAAAACACCTGGCGAGCCGGACAAATGTCCTTGGTGGGCCGCAGTTTGAGGACGCCTGACTCTAGATGCACACCTTGTCGGGACAGAGCTCGGAAGGGGCCTTTGAAACCAGGAGTCTAAAGACCTTGTTCAAAAATGGGAAAACAGAGGCCCAGAGGTGTGTAATGACTTGCCCAAGGTCACGAGTGGGCTTGGAGAAAAGCCTGGAAACCCTGGGTCTCCTGACTGCGCCCCCCCCTCCCCCCGGCAAAGCAGAGCATGGCCAGGGCTCAAATCTGCCTCTGCCTCTGCCTCTGGGCGGCTGTGCCCCTGTTTTGTCATCATTCCTGCTTCCCATGGCTGTCATAACAACCATATGGTGTACATTAAACCCTGGCTCAGAGAGCCCCATGCCAGGGTGTGCTTTTGATGAATGCTCATTGAGCACCTGCAGTCTGCCTGGCCCTGTGAGCCACCCGCATTGCGGGTGTCTGGAGGATTGAACTTAATGACCTGTAGGCCTTTCCACATGACCCTCTGACTACAGAAACTTGGATACTTGAATGGAAATAGTCTCAGAGAGCAAGTCTCCCCAGGATTCAAACTCACCTTCATGCCCTTTCCATGCTGAACATTGAATTTTCAGCTGCAGAGAACCTGTTATTTTTTTTACCAAGATCTTAATTGTGTAAACCTCCACAGATGCACATACACTCTTAGGTGGACTGACCGATTAGGCCGCTGAGGTCAGAATAATCAGATCACAGGCTTTGATATTCTTCCTCCTACTGGGAAAGGTAAGCATTGTGTCGCCCCCGTGGACAGGCCATTCCAGACACAGCAGGCAACATCCTCAAAAACATTGCTCTGCACCACAGGCATGTGAAAATGTTCTTCTTAAGCAGGGAAAAAAGCCATTAAACTTGCTCCAGATTCTCCAAGAAGCCAGCACTGGAAGGCTTTGGAGTGTGATTTCCAGCAGGGCACTGAAAGCGCTTCAGAACGTCTCTTTTCTGAGCTATGATTTAGTGTTTTGCCCAGCATTTATTAAGAGTAAATGAGAAAAGTAGCTGGATGAGTAAGTAACATTTCTGTACCATGCACGGAACTCTATTGTATTTCCTCAAAGTGCAAACTGTAATATCCAACTGATAAGATAATTCTAGATTTTGGGGCCCGGAAAATAGCTCTCTGCTTTCTGACATATATATTTTTCATTATAAAATAAAAATAATTTTATAAACTTTTTCCCTTTTCACTTGGGGTGTCAGGAAAATCTCAGCCAAATGCAACATCCAGCCTTTAGCAGAATTTCTTGCAACAAAAATTTCTCTTCTTCGTTTTAAAATTTCTGATCTTTTAAAGCACCAATTTATCTTTCCTGATAGATACATGTTCATGAAATATGTACATAGATACATGCACATAAATATAATCTCTGCTTGTCCAACTTCCTTCCCTTCTTACAAGGGCCCTGCGAGGGGTGAGGTAGCACATTTGTGGGACTAGCACAGCGGATGTGGAGACAGGCCCTCAGACTCCCTTGTGGGAAGGACCTGCTGTAGGCTGGGAGGAGTGGCTAGCTGATGGCCTGGAGCTCTTAGCTTTGTGAGAGTTTGCCTCAACTTTGAAGGCTGGACGATGCTGTTCCCAGAGCGGCCCCATACCCATGGCTAAGCCAAGTGGCAGTATAAGGGCCCGTCCATTTCTGCCCAGTGTGGGACTCCAGAACCACATGAGTATGGCTCTAAAGCTCCCCACAGGGCTTGCAGAGACTTTGCAGGGACACTGTGGCCTGACGGCTCTTCCTGTCCACTTCCCCTCTGGGGTCCTTATCCCTCACCAGGGGTTACATATTTCTCCCTCTTTCTCAGACCTGCTTCCTGGATCACTTGACACCCCCCAGCCCCTCTCTCTCCTCCCTCTTCAGCACTGGACAGCCCTGCAGGACCCTGGGTAGAGGGAGCCACCTTCTATCCCCCTAATTGCCAAAGACATCCACCCCCATGTCTCTCTCACTTTCTATGATGACTCCTAACAATGGAACGGGTCCTTCCTAGCCAGGGTCATGGACCCTCTCTGGCCCAGGGCTCACAAATATCCTTTGAAAATAGCAAACAGGGACCACTGAGGTGTACCAAGGGGGCATTCAGGCTGTCCAAGGAGAAGAGAGGGCACTCAGGCACGGAGCCAAGAGAGAGAAAGCCACTTCACACTTGACACTGGGAAAAGCAAGAGGCCTTGATCAGCACTTTTGGCTTTTTTCTCATTCTGGAATAGTCTTTTGACCTTTCTGTACCTGGCTACTCTCCTCGTTCTTTGAACCTTAGCTCAGATACCATCTCGTCTAGGAAGCCTTCCCTGATTGTCCACTGGCTTGAGGACATGGCAGGAGCAGGCCAGGGAGGACATGGAGTGCTCTCAAGGAGTTGAACTTCCTGCCACAGGTCACGGGGTGAGGAAGCCAATCAGAGGGTGCCAAAACAGTAGACAAGTTTTTTTAAAAATTTCAGATTAATATGAGGCTACAAATGCTCAGGTTACAATGTTTGCACTTGTTAGGTAAAATGTTTTAAGGAAGGAAAAAACTGTATTAAAATTGTTATACTTAATATATACCAATAGCAAGAAAAGAATACAAGTCAGATGCAAGCACCTGTTGTAATCACAGAAGTCAAACGTGGCTTGAGAATTACAATTTTAACAGGTTTTTCCCTTTATTTAAATGTGAATACATATTTTTGGCACTCTCCATATTTTGGGGAGCCCAAAAGGTGCCAGGCAGGGGGCCTGAAGCCAGGTATGTGGTGATGAAAATCCCAGATTGGCCCTGTCCCTTGGTCTAGCCTCATTATCTCACACCAACAAGAAACGAAGACAGCCTGCTGTTCAGACTTGCCCCCTGTATTGCCAGGTCACTGCTACAGGTGCTGTGAGCCACCCACCTCTCTCCTGCATGCCAACAGCTACCTATGCCCATACCACTGCCTCTCTGCCCAAGCCTTTCCCTGGACACAGGTGTGTACTCAGTCCCCAGCTGTTAACACATCAGGAACAGCCCTTGACTACCAACTTCCTCACAGACACCCTAAGAATGTTCTACCTTGTGCCCTAGAAATGTCCAACAACCTGCTCTTTGGCAAACCTGCACCCCAGCCTCTGCTTCCCCGCTCCATATCCCAGCTGGGGTGCATCCTGGGGTTACCTCCTAAATAAACCACTTGCCTCAAAACTCAGGCTTTAGGCATCCCCTGGCAATCAAAAAGTCACATAAATAGAAGCCTGTGGTGAATAGAAGCTGCTTTTCCACCTGGCCTTGCCTGACGTCATCACTGAGCCCCCTTCCTACTCCCTGGTCTGCGTGTTCCTTCCTGCCTGAGCTGGCTTGTCTTACTCCCAGTCTCAGCATCTCCTGATGGACTCATTGTCCCTAGGCTCCAACCAGGCTATTCCCCTGCACACAGACCTGTGCCATCCCAGCTCTGCCATCCGGGTCCAGTCCCCATTCTCACTGCAGGGTAGAGCCTGGCCACGGCCCCTACTTCCCCAGCAGCACCTCCCTGTCTTCCCGGCTGCCGCCCTGGGGATGCCGCCCTGCACACCCCACTGCCCCCTCCATGCCCTGCACATGCTATTTCTTCTGCCCAGAATCCCTGTCACTTTGGGGACTGCCTGGAACATTCCTTTCTGAGCTCAGCAAGCACATCTTCTGGAAGCCTTCCCTGTCCCCATCACGGGTAATCATGGTCACTCTCTCCTCTGTCTCTCTTAGGGCACTGGCACTCTTGGCTGGGCTGCCCTGTCTGCACACTTGCTGTGCCCGCCATCCTGACCAGGGGCACGTAAGGGATGCTGTGGTGCTGTGGGAAGGGCATGGACCATGGAGCCAGAGTGATCTGGACTCCTCACCCAGCCCTGTCCTCCCTGGGTGGCCTGAGATGGGTCCCCACTCCCTCTGCACTACACTTGCTCTTCCATGAAATAGAAGTCCTAAAACCTACTAGAGGCTGCTTGGAGGATCAAAGTCAACACCTGTTACGTGCTGGCACAGAATCAGTGCTCATTAGACATCATTGCTTGTGTTATTTTGTTTCTTCTCTGTGGAGCCTGACATGGTGGGTATGTTCAGCCCATGGGCAATGAAAGGGTGAAAACTGAGACTCCAGGGAAGGGGCATAAACACAGGAGGGTGCTGAGCAAGTTGTAACAGAGAGAAGTCATGTCGAGTGTCAGCAAAACTGGACCAGTCGGGAAGCTAGGATCTGCTTGGCCACCTCCCTCCAGTGCTGAGAGTGGTGCGTTTTCCCAATGGCAGGCTCCCCGTCATCATTCTCAGACACCTGCAGATTATGGCAGCAGGGACAGACACCCAGCATGGGCTGCAGGGAGGAGACTGAGCTCGCAGGCCTCACGGGGGCCTCAGAGAGCCGTGCTGCTGTCCCCTGGACTGTGGATGCCTCCCAGTGTCGGGGGCCTGCACGCAGGTGTTCACCTACTAACAGGGGCTCTCTTCTACCCAGAATGCATGGCACTGAGTTGGGTGCTGAACTGGGGGGCTGGAAGAAGGGGAGGGGTTTCCTGTCTGCAGCTTCCTCCTCCCATGTGGAGACCAGACTCTTGCCATCAAGTGGTGACTGGGCTTTGATTCCTCCTGCTTCACCCTCGAGCCCTGTGCCTTGCCAGGCCCCACTGTGGGCTAACAATTGAGTTTCAGATACTCAGTGGTTGATCACTGACTCTGGCAAGTTCTCAGAAACACTCACTACCTGGCAAAAGGCATGAATGTTAAAGAAGAGTTGGGAGCTGTTTCCCAAGTACATGCTAGCTCTAGGCCCTGGCTGTGTCCACCA